CTACTACTGAGCCAGGTACCACCTATACCAGGGGTAGGCAACCTTGGCTCTTTTATGACTCGTGGACTTCAACTCCCAGAATTCCTGAGCCAGCTTGGCTCAGCTTGGAAACCTCTCCCTTTCCCCTCAGCATGGCTGACTCAGGAATTCTGGGATTTGAAGTCCACGAGGCATAAAAGAGCCAAGGTTGCCTACCCCTGACCCATACTATACCTGTACATTTGGTTTCTCTTGCCTAAATGTAGAACCTTACTTTTTTCACCATTGAATTTCATTTTGTTAGATAGTGCCCAGTGTTCAAGTCTGTCTAGATATTCCTGTATCCTAAGCCTGTCTTCTGGAGTGATGTATCCTCCTTGGAAAAAAGTTCTTTGAACAAAGGCTGGATTGTCGGAGATGTTTCAACGATCCTGTACTGAATAGGGTTTGGATAAGATGATCTCTAAGATTCCTTCCAACTCTCTGATTCGATCATATGATAGAATGATTTCTATGATATAAAAGTGTAATAGAAACTCATTATTAATCCTTAAAGTAGCTTTACGGTTCCTTCTTTCAGGGACGAGAGGAATGCTATCCATGAGTAAAGTCAGCTAACGTTCACCCTTCTCTCTCAAAATATACAGCCCAAACCAAGATAACTGTGTAGTTGGAGGGGCTTAAACGTAACCCCTAAATCATTGCTAGTGCTCTTGAAAGGATTTTCTCCAGCTTATTTTTTATCTCTTTAAAAGCCAGAGTATATCCACTAAAGTCAGCTTTGTGCTGAAAGGCTATTCTCCTTCTGGGTCACATCCAGAAATGGCCACACAACTGTGGGAAGAATCCAGAGAAAGAAATATTTTGGGAAATATTACCAGGCAGAATATATTTCCCCAAAGGAATAATGGAGAAGATCTTTTTTTTAAAAAAGGCAGAAACCACCCCCCAGAAATTAACCCAGCCCCTAGGCAACCTTGGCTCTTTTATGACTCGTGGACTTCAATTCCCAGAATTCCTCAGCCAGCATGGGGGAACTGTGGCCACTTTATGACTCGTGGACTTCAACTCCCAGAATTCCTGGGCCAGTATGGCTCAGCTTGGAAACCTCTCCCTTTCCCCTCAGCATGGCTGGCTCAGGAATTCTGGGAGTTGAAGTCCACGAGTCATAAAAGAGCCAAGGTTGCCTACCCCTGCCCTAGGGCCTAGGCCGCTTTATGACTCCTGGACTTCAACTCCCAGAATTCCTGGGCCAGCATGGCTCAGCTTGGAAACCTCTCCCTTTCCCCTCAGCATGGCTGGCTCAGGAATTCTGGGAGTTGAAGTCCACGAGTCATAAAAGAGCCAAGGTTGCCTACCCCTGCCCTAGGGCCTAGGCCACTTTATGACTCCTGGACTTCAACTCCCAGAATTCCTGAGCCAGCATGGGGGAACTATGGCCCCCTCACGGCTTGTGGACCAACTCCCAGAATTCCTCAGCCAGCACGGCTCAGCATGGAAACCTCTCCCTTTCCCCTCAGCATGGCTGGCTCAGGAATTCTGGGAGTTGAAGTCCACCAGTCATAAAAGAGCCAAGGTTGCCTACCCCTGCCCTAGGCAGAAGCCAGCTTTTAGAAATGCAGATGTGATAATCCATTCAAAAAGGTTGGAGCCCTCCAGCTAGAAGCTGATCAGGAAGTCAAAGACCCTTAACATCTACATACCCCCACCCAAATTCTAAGGACAGGAGACATAATAGGATTAATCCACCAATGCCAAAAGGGCACACTCAGACATGACACAGGAAATACAAAGCCTCAAACAGGAACAGGACACAACCTCAAGAGCCCCAGAAGGTAGTTTCTCCTTAATTCCAGGTTGCTTCTCTCCTTGACCAGTTTCCAACCATTGTTTCTCGTCCTTCCCTCTGGTGCTTTGGTGAATAATGTGACCCCCTCCTCTTCTTTATGGCAGCCCCTCAGATACGGGATCACTGCTATCATGTCACCCCTATTTCTTCTTTTCTTTAGACTTGCCAAACCCAAGTCCCGCAGCCATTCTTCGTATGTTTTAATCTCCAGGCCTTTGATCATCTTAGTTGCTCTTCTCTGAATTTCTTTCCAAACTCTCGACATCATTTTTGTGATGTGGTGACCAAAATTGGCTGCAGTATTCCAGGTGTGGCCTCACTAGGGTTTTATAAAGCGGTACTAATACCTCGCGTGATCTTGAGTCTATGCCTCTGTTTATGCAACCCAGGATTGTGTTAGCTTTTTTGAGTTCCCCTTCAATTCCATCATCTAAGTCATTTATGAAGATATTGAAGAGTCCTGGGCCTACGACGGAACCTTTTGGTACCGCACTGTGCTTCCTTGGTTAGGCTTGTTTACTTTTTGATTGTTTGTCTGAATTGGTAGTTCTTGGATTGGGGTAAACCACTAGTCTTTAAAAATAGATCAAATCCCACTCCCTTCTAGGTCTAATGATGTTACCTAGCTGGGTAATGAAACGTCTGCAAGAAAACCAAGTTCAAAGAGCACCAAGGATCCGACAGTCCTCCTCCTCCTCCTCCTCTTCCTCCTCCTCTTCTTCTTCCTCCTCCTCCTCTTCTCTGCAAACCCCTCTCTCTTCTAACACTGATGATGTTACCTACTTGGGTCATGAAACGTCTGCAAGAAGACCAACAAGCTCAGAGAGCACCAAGGATACCACAGTCCTTCTCCACCACCTCCTCCTCCTTTTCACTCCTCTTTCCTTCCTCCTCCTTCTCCTCACAATCCCCACCCCTTCTACCACTGATGACGCTATGTACTTAGGTCATGAAACGTCTGCAAGAAAACCACCAAGCTCAGAGAGCATCAAGGATCCCACAGTCCTCCTCCTCCTCCTCCTCCTCCTCCTCCTCCTCCTCCTCCTCCTCCTCCTCCTCCTCTTCTCTGCAAACCCCTCTCCCTTCTAACACTGATGATGTTATCTACTAGGGTCATGAAACGTCTGCAAGAAGACCAACAAGCTCAGAGAGCATCAAGGATCCCACAGTTGTCCTCCTCCTCCTCCTCCTCCTCCTCCTCCTGTTCTCTGCAAACCTTGAGCTGTAAATATTCTCTTTTGTTGCAGAGATTCTCCTGCTTATATTGAGAACATCCTAACTTGATCATTCCTTGACAATTGCCACTTTCTCAACAGTTCTTTTGGGGCAACTTACAGGAGCTGGGAGAAAAACTGCTTCCGTAGTCACTCATCTTCCCAAGCATTTCTCACGTTGCTTACAAAAGGAGCTGACACACGATCACTCCTAGATTAGTTATGTCTTCAATGCGCAGATTATACATTTTGGTTAATAAATTGGGAATGCATTGATATATATGAAAAGCCTTCTTCGGATCAATTTTGCTCTAGCACTAACTGCTCACTACTCTCTATGTTGCTAGGAATTTGAGGATGTTGTAAACATATCTTGCAACAATTGATATCCTGAATATTTGCACAAAGGGAATATTGTGTGTCTAACCCCACGTGGCCAAATAAAGCATTCGGTCATTCATTCATTCATTCATTCATTCATTCATTCATTCATTCATTCATTCATTCATTCATTCATTCATTCAAAGTAGTCGTAACTTGCAGGTAACAGCTAAGTTTGCAAATAATAATAACAATTTCTCTTCTTTACAAGTAGTTCTCAACCTACAGCCATAATTGGTTCCACTGCTAAGCAAGGCAGGTTTTTTTTCAAAATTTTATTTATAATACAATTTAAAAAAAACATTGGATATAACGTGACATTCCAGTATATACATTCTTATCAAATTATTCCACATTTTACAATCGATTCTTCATCTCTGAATATACATCTAAATTTTATATACAATACATATTCTAAAATTACATATATTTCTATCTTAACGCTAGCCTATAATCCCAACCGTCCTCCTCGAATCCCTCCAGCGGTAAAATTTATCCCAGGTTTCGAAATAAACTGATCTACATTTGTCTTTCAATACCACTGTGAGCCTGTCCATTTCTGCACATGATAATATTTTATATAGTGTCTCTTCCTCTGTGGGAATTTCTTTGCTCTTCCATTTTTGCGCGAACGCCAGCCTAGCTGCAGTCAAGATATGTAACAGCAAATAGATTGTTGCTTTATTGTATTTCTCTGTAGTTATTCCCAACAGGAAAAGTTCAGGTTTTAACTCGTAAGTCCAACATTAATATATCTTTCAGCCATCTTCGTATCCTATTCCAATACTCAACAAGCCTTTGGGCATTCCCACCACATATGATAATATGATCCTATTGCTGTTTTACATTTCCAGCACAAAGGTGAGATGTTTGGACCCATTTTGGCTAACCTTGCGGGTGGGAAGTGCCATCTATAAAACATCTTGCAGAGATTTTCCTTGTATGAGGTAGCTAGAGTGAGTTTCCTATTTCTTTCCCACAGTTCTAAGCAAGGCAGTTTTTAAACGAGTCACGTCTGATTTTATGCCTTTTTTAAAAAAAAAAAAAACACGGCTGAGGAATTCTGGGTGTTGAAGTCCACAAATCTAAAAAGTTGTCAGGTTTGGACCCCTCTGGTCTAAACTGAATTGTCCCACCTATATTATGTTCCTTTCCAGATGAATCAGATAACTATATGACGCTCAGTTCTGACTGAAGAACATCTGGAAGGTTGAACTTGGCTGATCCAAGGGGAGGCATCAACAATCGAGGAGGAGGAGGAGGAGGAGGAGGAGGAGGAGGAGGAGGAGGACTTCTTCTTCTTCTTCTTCTTCTTCTTCTTCTTCTTCTTCTTCTTCTTCTTCTTCTTCTTCTTCTTCTAGAAGAAGAAGAAGAAGAAGAAGAAGAAGAAGAAGAAGAAGAAGAAGAAGAAGAAGAAGAAGAAGAAGAAGAAGAAGAAGAAGAAGAAGAAGAAGAAGAAGAAGAAGAAGAAGAAGAAGAAGAAATAATAATAATTGTCCGCTGAAAACTAAGTCTTTGTTCCGTCCTTCCTTGGGAAGACTGTCTAGTTGCAAGACAGATTCTTGGATTTGGCTCATTCACACTTTGTCACAAATGGTTTCAGGGCACGGCTTCTTTCTCGCGATGTAATATGCCCGGTTGACTTCGGGATAGGTGACTTTGGACAAAGGCAGCTTGAAGATGGCCTCGTTGTTGGTGGTTAAGAGCAGGAAGGTGAGTGAAGATAAGCAGAAGGGCCAGGTCCCAACTGGAAGCCCAAACTGGAAAGGAATAAAAACAGCAACATCTCAGAAATGGGTCTATGGAGACTCTCCATCATGGTTGTCCCATGTCAAGAGGCAACTAGACTTTCTTGTTTTGCTTTGAAGACGTTTCGCTTCTCATCCAAGAAGCTTCTTCAGCTCTGACTGGATGGTGGAGAGTGGAAAGATTTATACTCCTTGCAGACAGCTGGTCATTTGCCTTCTTTTAAAGAGGTGTTGAGGACACTTGGAGGCTTATCTGTGTCCTCAGGGTCACCTGAGCGCTGCAAATGGGTGTGGAGCCTTCTTGGGACTGCGGAAAGGACAGTGTTGTAGACTGGCGATAGATGATGTCGCGTCCCTCCCCCTTTGTTGAGGAAGGGCTGTTCAATTTTGACCTAGATGGCCTCTTAGACCCCTCGTTCAAACCAGTGGTCCACTCAGTCCAAAATGTGGATTTTGCTGTCAGCAATACATCTGCATTTAAAAGGCCACTCTTTTGAAGACAGCAAAGTCCACATTTTGAACTGAGAGGACTGCTGGTTTGAATGAGGGGTCCAAGAGGCTATCTAGGTCAAAATTGAACAGCCCTCCCTCAACAGAGGGGGAGGATACAACATCATCTATCTCCAGTGTTACAACACAGTCCTTTCAGCAGTCCCAAGAAGGCTCCACACCCATTTGCACTGCTCAGGTGACCCTGAGGACATAGATCAACCTCCAAGCAGCCTCAACGATTCTCTAAAAGAAGGCAAATGTCTGCAAGGAATATAAATATAAATCATCTATCTCCAGTGTTATAACATTGTCTTTTCAGCAGTCCCAAGAAGGCTCCACACCCCTTTGCACCGCTCAGGTGACCCTGAGGACACAGATAAACCTCCAAGTGGCCTCAACGATTCTCTAAAAGAAGGCAAATGACCAGCTGTCTGCAAGGAGTATAAATCCTTCCATTTCCCCCACCATCCAGTCAGAGCTGAAGAAGCTTCTTGGATGAGAAGCGAAACGTCTTCAAAGCAAAACCAGAAAGTCCAGTTGCCTCTTGAAAAAAGCACCTTTGGGATATCAGAAATGTCTTTGGGGAGTTTATACAAAATCAAGAGGATGGGCCACAAAGATGTGGTCAAAGCCCGGCCCCGTTTTTACATCTGTTGTAAACTTACAAAGTGCTACACACTTTTTGGAATTAAACAACAATGGAAGATATCTACCTCATTGGCAATAATATCAAGTGGACAATAACAGAACAACAGAGTTGGAAGGGACCTTGGAGGTCTTCTAGTCCAGCCCACTACTCAGGCAGGAGACCCTGTACAACTTCAAACAAATCGTTGTCCAATCTCTTCTTAAAAACCTCCAGGAGGCTTTCAAGAAGAGACGGAACTGCCATCGGTCAGAAATGGTGTAGGGACTCCTGCTTAGGCAAGGGGTCAGGCTAGATGACCTACGAGGTCCCTTCGAGCCCTGTTGTTCTATTTTTATTCTATTCAGGTTGCTCCACTGATCAATTGTTGTCACTCTTAATACATCTCTCCTTAGTTCTAGCTTGCTTCTCTCCTTGATTCGTTTCCACTGTCTTACTTCGGGACTTACTCAACACACTTGTGTGTGCTGTACTACAGGTAGTCCTCAACTTAACGATTGCAATTTTGCTTGTAAGTCATTGCGGTCATTAAACGGGTTACCGCGTGTCTTAACGGTTACGCCTTGCAGGTGGGACATTGTGAGGTTAAAATAAGACAGACACCTCCCCCCATTTAAGCCACCTGCCATTCCCCCCCTCTCAGAATGAATTGATGACGATAAATAGATACAAGTCAATCTTCGTTCCCGGATGATCAGCAACGTACCACGGAAAAAATACGGCTCATCGCTTCTCCCACGTAGGCGGTAAAAAAAGCTGCAAAAAGAAATATAAATAAGTAACGTTGCTACTGATTGTAAAAGACTCTGAAATAATAAGGGGTTAAGGGACAGGGGGTGAAAGAGGCTCCGATCTGTTACTTGGGACCGGCCTCCCTCCCTCTCGGCCCTACCCACCTCACAAGATTGTTGTGGGTAAAAGAGGAGAGGGAAAGTAACGATGGAGAGGTTTGCCGCCTTGCGTTATTTGTAAAAATAATAAAGGCGGGATACGAATAAATAAAGCCATTTTTTGATGGGGGGCAGGGAATTCCCACAAAACACTGAGTCGTAAAGTGGGCTGTTGGGTTGGAACCCTCTACTGAGTTGCAACAAATAAATGAATAAGTACAATAAATACAATAAGAGTGATACAATGAATTAAAACAGTCATTTGTTAAAGCAGGGCTCACCAAGCGTTCCTGCTTGGCAGCCCGGAAGAAAAGGGAGGAGCAGGGAAATGTTCATGCGCAAACGGACACGCTATCACTGCGGCAGTGGTAGCAGGTGTGCGCACGTGCAAGTGGGCTGTGCGCATCCATGGCGGCATGCTGGCGCCCACACAAATGGGCCGCTGGCACCCACGCACATGTGCAAGCAGGCCACTAGTGCCCACATGACATGGCAGTGCTAGTGCCCCCGTGCGTGCACAAAGGGGGCCACTAGCCCCCGCGTGGTGGCACTACCGCGAGTGGGGTGGCTCGCCAGCTATTCCTGCGGCCTGGTGGCCAACAGGCCACGGTCTGGTACTGGGCTGTGGACCATAGGTTGGGGACCCCTGTGTTAAAGCAGGGCCATCACGTTCTTTGGTCCCCCAAGCTTTTGCTGTTTTGTCGTGGATCCAACCGTTTGGCTGCTGGAACAGGAAAGAGAATCCAAGGCAGAGTTCATTGAGAGTGGTGTTATCCCTTCAATCATGTCTGACTCTTGGCGATTCTATGGACCGGATCTCTCCACATCTTCAGACCTTGCGCTACTTCTTTGAGTGGTTCTATGCTCTGGCTGGGGTCAGCTTGGAGGGTGTCCAGGGTGTTCTTTGTCGGCCTGGTTTCCTTTCACTGCTAACTCTTCCAAACACAACTGCTTTCTCCAGTGGCAAAGTTCATCTAACACCCAGCTAAAAACCAGGTTCACTCGTTTGAGGTTTAGCCGTTATTGTGACCTGTGGGGATGGGCGAAGCAGCCCATCACACTAAACCAGAATGGGGTCTATTGCAGAGGTCCCCAAATTTTCCAGGTTGGCAGCCTGGAGGGAAAGGGAGGAGCAGGCAAATTTACAGGCACACATGTGCTTGCATGTGCAAATGGGGCCGTGCGCACCTGCACGACGCTCATGGTGGTGCTAGCGCCTGCACGCATGTGCAAATGGGGCCACTGGAGCCCATGCGTGCACACAAATGGGGCCGCTAGCCATCATGCAATGCTCACAGTGGGGCTAGCGAGAGTGAGGGGGGAGTGCGCCCACATTGGCCAGCCATTCCCATGGCCTGGTAGTCAACAGGCCATGGACTGGTAGTGGGCCACAGCCCACAGGTTGGGGACCCCTGGTCTATTGGTTGAATCACAACAAGGAGGTGAATCAAGTAACAGTATTTGTTCACCTGGCTTTAACAAGTTGTGTGAACTCGGACAAATCCTTTGCTCCTAGAAGTATCGCTCGAATTATGACCCTAATGGTGCCTGCCATTTTATGACCTTGTCAACGCTGCTAACATTGGATGTTTTTGCTTTGACAATATATGAAAATACAGCCATTTTCTCTTTAACCTGTGTGTTACTTTTAGAGTTAGAATTAGATGATGCTGGGGGGGAGAGAAGGAAGAATATGTATGGGAATTAGTTTGACATAACAACCTGGTAGTAAAGTGTTTTTTCTCAAGGCTGTTTGAAATAAGAGATGATAAGGAATGGCAGGCTGGAGAACTGGAGGGAAAGCCTGCATTTCAAACGAATTGGAGAATGTGATTTATGACTGTTAATTAGGGGAGGGAATTGTGCTTTGCTATTATGTGTTTAGGGGAGGAGAATTCAGATTTTGGCTTCATGTCATGGTTCTGACAGATGTTACTCTTCAAAGAACCTCGAGGCATTGTTTTGAATAAAGATTCTTTAAGATAAACAATGCCTCGAGGTTCTTTGAAGAGTAACATCTGTCGGAACCATGACAGACCACTTTTGTGCTGAACCATGGCAGCCATTTTGCGAAAGCTGCAGCCACGAAGCAAACCCACGGTTCCCTTGACGCTGCACAGCTGTCGTAAAATGGACTTGTGTGACCGTCCGGATTTCATGACCTTCCTTTGCGGTGGTTGTTAAGCGAACCCTGTGGCAGCCAAGTGAACCAACGGTTGCTAAGCGAAAGCCGCGGTCGTTAAACAAACCAATGGCTCACCAACGAAGGACAGGATTGTGTGACCGTCCCTGATTTTAAGGAGAGCAGTGATGGTTAAGTGGACCACTGTGGTCATTCAGCAAATCTGCGGTCGTTAAGTGAACGCAAATGACAATAAATGGGGCCTGGTTGCCATAGATCTAAACTGCAGTCATGTGATCATGGGAGGGGGGGCGACGAGGGAACCGCCAGAACTTTGAATCCAGGTGGTAAATATGGTAGGTCCATCAGAACTCTCAACAGCCACTAAGTGATCGGTCGCAAAACGAGGACTACCTGAATTTTAGTGCTGGAAAGAGCCTGGTTACTCACCGCAAGTGACCGCCAACACAAATGTCTGCCAGGTGAGGGCGTAGAACATCCCGCCGATGGCAATGCAGGAGAGGCAGCTGTTGTAGTTCCACAACCCGGCGTAAATTTTATTCAGAGGGGAAGCCAGACTCAGAGCTACAAAATAAAACAGATGGAAAAAATGGCTGAACCCTTAGAGAATATGGCAACCCAGAAGATCTCCTGGTGTCCACCTCTCCTCCTGGTGTCCACCTCTATAGCTTTAACCCCAAAAGGAACATGATTCCCATCAACGTCTATGGAGATTCTCAGTCATCCAGGTCAAGGTTATTCCCAAAGGTGCAGGAATTGGGTATGTCTAATCTAGGGAAAAGAAGAAATAGGGGAGATATGATAGCCGTTTCCCAATATTTGGGGGGCTGCCACAAAGAAGAGGGGGTCGGCCTATTCTCCAAGGCATCTTATAATAATAATAATAATAATAATAATAATAATAATAATAATAATAATAATAATAATAATAATAATAATAATAATAATAATAATAATAATAATGATAATAAAGTTGGAAGGGACCTTGGAGGTCATCTAGTCCAATCCCCTGCTCAGGCAGGAAACCCTATACCATTTGAGACAAATGGCTGTCCAGTCTCTTCTTAAAAACCTCCAGTGTTGGAGCATTCACCGCTTCTGGAGGCAGGTGGTTCCACTGGTTAATTGTTCTAACTGTCAGGAACTTTCTCCTTAGTTCTAGGTTGCTTCTCTCCTTGATTAGTTTCCATCCGTTGCTTCTTGTCCTGCCTTCAGGCGCTTTGGAGAATAGCTTGACTCCCTCTTCTTTGGGGCAGCCCCTGTGATACTGGAACTCCGCTATCCTGTCCCCCCTCGTCCTTCTCTTCATTAAACTAGAAGTTTAATCTGAAGGCAGGACAAGAAGCAACGGATGGAGAATAATCAAAGAGAGAAGCAACCTGGAATTACTTCCTAACAGGGAGGACAATCAACCAGTGGAACAGCTTGCCACCAGAAATTGTGGGTGTTCCATCACTGGAGGATTTAAGAAGAGACTAGACAATCACCTGTCTGAGATGGTATAGAGTCTCCTGCTCAAGCAGGGGGCTGGACTAGAAGACCTCCAAGATCCTTTCCAATTCTGGTATTCTATTCTGAGTCTTTTTCCAAAAGGCAACTGGACTTGAAAACATTTTGCTTCTCATCCAAGAGAACTGAAGAAGCTCCTTGGATGAGAAGTAGAACATTTTCAAGGTAAAACAAAACCAAGAACGTCCAGTTGTCTTTTGGAAAACCACCTTTGGGACATGATCCCATAGAGCAGGGGTCTTCAAACTTGGCCCTTTGATGACTTGTGGACTTCAACTCCCAGAATTCCTCAGCCAGGCGTGTGTGCCTGGCTGAGGAATTCTGGGAGTTGAAGTCCACAAGCCATCAAAGGGCCAGGTTTGAAGATCCCTGGCATAGAACAACTCAAAGAAGTAGCGCAAGATCAGAAGATCTGGAGAGACCAGGTCCATAGAATCTTTGTATATTTTGGTCTCCAGGCCTTGGATCATCCTAGTTGCTCTTCTCTGAATTTTTCCCAAAGTCTCAACATCTCTTTTGTGATATGGTGACCAAAATTGGCTGCAGTATCCCAGGTGTGGCCTCACTAGGGTTTTATAAAGCGGTACTAATACTTCTACACTAGAACTAAAATACGGAGACAAATATGTTGGGTCCTAACATAATCGAAAAAACCGACGACGACGTGTGCCGACCGAGTACCAGTTCGCTAACAGGTGATCCTGAGGTTCCAGGGAGAGGGTCAACGACAAAAACTCGGTTAGACATGAACATGGAAACTAAAAAAGACGGATTTACATTTTGAAACGAAAAGAGTGCATTAAACCTCACGACTGCTCTTTGAGGTCTTGGAACTACCTTCGAACACAGTTACTAAAACCTGGTGGCATCGCTTCTTTTCATCTCGAGTGGGAAATACTCAAAAATGGAATGAATTTCCAAATTGGCATCCTCTAAGAACAAAGGAAGAAGGGATAGAATCAAGATCACGTGAAGTATTAATACCACTTTACAAGGCCTTGGTAAGGCCACACTTGGAATCCTGCATCCAGTTTTGGTCACCACGATTTTAAAAAAGATGTTGAGACTCTAGAAAGAGTGCAGAGAAGAGCAACAAAGATGATTAGGGGACTGGAGGCTAAAGCATATAAGGAACGGCTGCTGGAATTGGGTATGTCTAGTTTAATGAAGAGAAGGACGAGGGGGGACAGGATAGCAGTCTTCCAGTATCCCAGGGGCTGCCCCAAAGAAGAGGGAGTCAAGCTATTCTCCAAAGCTCCTGAAGGCAGGACAAGAAGCAACGGATGGAAACTAACCAAGGAGAGAAGCAACCTAGAACTAAGGAGAAACTTCCTGACAGTGAGAACAATTAACCAGTGGAACAACCTGCCTCCAGAAGCTGTGAATGCTCCAACACTGGAAGTTTTTAAGAAGAGACTGCACAGCCATTTGTCTGAAATGGTATAGGGTTTCCTGCCTGAGCAGGGGGTTGGACTAGATGACCTCCAAGGTCCCTTCCAACTTTATTATTATTATTATTATTATTATTATTATTATTATTATTATTATTATTATTATTATTATTATTATTATTATTATTATTACCCAAAGTTCTCCTGAAAATGTGTTATCCCCAAAGACCCTGGACTTGTTTGGTTTGGATCACTAGCTCACACCTTCCCTGTCAAAGGTTAAGTGTCACGCCCAGCCATCAAAGTCTGTCCAACCTTTGCAAATAAATCTTACTATCAATAAACGCTAGATCCCAGAGTTTGGTCCATGCACGGCATCACAGAACACTACCTCAACACGAAGCTCTTGAGATATTGATGTTCTTGAGATACTGGAATTGTGTACCTCTTTTTCTTAGAACATTCCACCAACATGGACAGTAAGAATTCTAGGCCCAACCTGTTTGGGATCTTGGAGAATGTTGAATAATATAATGCCACCTGTCATACCTGCAGGTACTCCAACCGCTGAGCCAATCACAGCATGGCTGAAGATGAGAGGGGATGAGAGGAAAAGAGCCAACATGATGATGCCACCAGTCCAAGGGTTATCGCAACCGTAGACCTGCCCGATTCCTACTGGGATAGACCTCAGGAGCTGTGGAAGAAGCATTCAAAGGAAGGGGTTGAAGGTTGTATCAAAAGGACTTCCATTATAGTGGACGAACACTTGACCATGAGCCAGCCGTGTGCAGCAGCAGCCAAAAAAGCTAATACAATCCTGGGTTGTATAAACAGAGGCATAGAATCAAGATCACGCGAGGTATTAGTGCCGCTTTATAAAACCCTAGTGAGGCCACACCTGGAATACTGCAGCCAATTTTGGTCACCATATCACAAAAAAGATGTTGAGAGTTTGGAAAAAAGTCAGAGAAGAGCAACTAAGATGATCCAAGACCTGGAGGCTAAAACATATGAAGAACGGCTGCAGGACTTGGGTTTGGCTAGTCTAAAGAAAAGAAGAAATAGGGGAAATAGGGGAAATAGGGGAGACATGATAGCAGTATTCCAGTATCTGCCACCAAGAAGAGGGGATCACATTATTCTCCAAAGCACCAGAGGGAAGGATGAGACACAATGTTTGGAAACTGACCAAAGAGAGAAGCAACCTGGAATTAAGGAGAAACTTCCTAACAGTGAGGACAATTAACCAGTGGAACAGCCTGCCACCAGAAATCGTGGGTGCTCCATCACTGGAGGTTTTTAAGAGTCTAGACAGTCACTTGTCTGAGATGTTATACAGTAGGTTCTCCTGCTTGAGCAGGGGGCTCGACTAGAAGACCTCCAAGGTCCCTTCCAGCTCTGTTCTGTTCTGTTCTCATGTGACCCCCAGGAACGCTGCAACCATCATAAATGTGAGTCAGTTGCCAAGCATCTGAATGTAAATCACATGACCCTGGGGATGCTGCAACGGTCATAAGGGCAAAAAGATGCTCATAAGCCACTTTTTTCCAGAGCTGTTGTAACTTTGAACAGTCACTAAGCAAAGCGTTGTAAGTGCTTGTATCTTGATTGAGCTTAACACCTCCAGAGGGTGTCCTGTATCTATCTATCTTATCTATCTATCTACCTACCTACCTATATCTCTATCTCTATCTCTATCTCTATCTCTATCTCTATCTCTATCTCTATCTCTATCTCTATCTCTATCTCTATCTCTATCTCTATCTCTATCTCTGTCTGTCTGTCTGTCTGTCTGTCTCTGTCTCTGTCTCTCTCTATTTATATCTATATCTATATCTATATCTATATCTATGTCTATGTCTATGTCTATGTCTATCTCTATCTCTATCTCTATCTATCTCTATCTCTATCTCTATCTCTATCTCTATCTGTCTCTATCTATCTATCTATCTATCTATCTCTATCTGTCTCTATCTGTCTCTATCTATCTATCTATCTATCTATCTATCTATCTATCTATCTATCTATCTATCTATCTATCTATCTATCTATCTATCTATATCTGTCTATGTCTATGTCTATGTCTCTATATCTCTATCCATATCCATATCCATATCCATATCCATATCCATATCCATATCCATATCCATATCCATGGTAGGTAGGTAGGTAGGTAGGTAGGTAGGTAGGTAGGTAGGTAGGTAGGTAGGTAGGTAGGTAGGTAGGTAGGTAGGTAGATAGATAGATAGATAGATAGATAGATAGATAGATAGATAGATAGATAGATAGATAGATAGATAGATAGATAGATAGATAGATAGATAGATAGATAGATAGATAGAATCTATCTATCTACATCGACATCTGCATCTGCACCTGCACATACATATACATATACATCTATTTTCCTGTCTGGGACTTCTTCTACACCAGCCATGGTCATTTTGGTCACCTGTCAAGATGTGGCCTTGACTAGTAGCTTCTCCATTAATTGAACCCCGGCTGGATCTGTTCCAGAAAAGCATGAACTAGTCTTTTGTTTGCTGAACCCAACCCAGGAGCTGACGTGGCTCTTCCCGTCCCTGTGTACAAGGGGCTAATGTCAGGCTGCTCGGTCCTGCGTCTGAGCTGGGATAAGCTGAACTTGGACTACAAAGATCTTATTCTTTAATTAAATCAAATTATTCCTGCCGGAGTCTCTTTTGGGCTTGACAGCCGAAAACTCATTACTGCTTTGGCTAAGTCATCGGGGAATGTTTTTGCTAAATAACCCTGGCATTTGCTCTTTTTTAAAAAAATATTTTATTAATTTTCTATTTTTACAATCAAGTGCTTAATAAGCAACGTGATGACTGAGCCCCTTAGTAATTCCGTAGTACATATAAGCTTCTTCAAACTCAATCTAATATTACACCCTCCAATATATCCTCTCTTCTCCTGTAGACATTTTTCCACACTAAGCAAATACAATTCTTATTGTGGTTAGTATTATTGTGAGTATTATTGTTGCGGTTGGCATTTGCTTTTGAAGCCTCTCGCCGAGATAAGAATAAAAAATATATATTTCAAAACACATTTTTTTTAAAAAAAAAGACATGAGAAATGTAAACGTGTTGGGACGGCCTGTACGAGGAAAATAGATCTAAATACTTAAAATGGAATTAACCTTGAGAAAATCTTAACCAGTGAGAATGTTTTGAACATTGTAGGGAAAACCAATTTAAATAAAAATTGTAAACAGGATTTATGACGAGGCAACCAAGATGATCGGATAAAAAAGAAGCATGATATGGATGTGATTATTGTTGGTAGCAATGTTGGAAAAATCTTTTATCTTTATTGGTTACCTATCAAACCAATAAGAATTGCATCAATTCAAGGTTGGCAAAGAGATTATTATTGGAAGAACAGAAAATCAAGCAAAGCTATTACGTGGACTTTGGAATATAGAAACTGATTGTTAGTGATTACTTTGCAAATATAAGCCCAGGCAACACGCTGTTTATCAAATATTAAGGTCTTTATGCTAAAAAGTCAACAATATTAAAAAAAAATATTTTAATAGCTTGCTACTCTTGCATAAATACCTCTGGAAAAGAGGGATTTTTAATTCCCAAACCTACGGAGGAATCAAGGTCTAAGGCTGTAATTTTCCACAGTGTCTTGAGACACTCAAGGTGGCTTCCAGCTGCCGAGTCCTTCCTATTTTTACAAGAAATTTACTCCCAGATGAAATAAATTGCTTTTCCCATACATGGAGTTGTCAACTTAAAACCTTGACTGGACTAGAAGACCTCCAAGGTCCCTTCCAGCTCTATTCTGATTGATTGGTTGATTGAAATGATATAGGGACTCCTGCTTGAGCAGGGGGCTGGACTAGAAGACCTCCAAGGTCCCTTCCAGCTCTACTCTATTCTATTCATTGAAACATTCTAGCTCATTGTCCTTTAAACCAATATATATATATATATATATATATATATTTATATGTTTTCGTAGATTTTCACGGGTACAGGTATGCAGGTCTTGGCGTACTCGGGTCTTTTCCCGTGTAAGATTGAGAGTATCTTGGCGACGTTTCGACGAGGTCCCACTCGTCATCTTCAGGCTGGGGTCTTCAGCTTCGTGCTTGTGCGAGCAAAGTGTGATCGCTGCTGTCTCTCTATAGATATTGGTGTGTGTGTGTGTGCTGTAGGTGGGTTGGTTGGCTGTGTTGGAGTTGAGTTCTTACAACGCTAAAGCTCAGGATGTTACAGCACAGCCAACCCCCCAGGATGTTGCAACACAAAACTCAGGATATCACTACACTAGATCTCAGAATGTAATCACACAACCCATTACCCAGGTCGTCATAACACAAAAGACTAATGGGCACACAGCCAGCACCTCAACTATTCAGGATGTTACGAAACAGCCGAACAATCCGCAAACAATAACTCCAATATATAATATAAATTATTCTTACGCTTAATTTAGTGACTTTTATTCTAGCTCATTTCCCTTATATATCTCAGACATGTGTTGTTCTCAAGGTGTAAAACATTCTAGAAGGGAGGTGTAAATCTTTAGTAACAATAAATCAACGTCCTGCTAGCACTTTTTCCAATTAAAAAAATATATTAAAAAGCAGAAGCATTTGTGAACAGCAACGAAAAAACCCCCCACATTTTGCTTTAAATAAAATGTGTGGATCAGAAAAAGGGCTAGCAGTCTCCTTCTGGTTTTTAGCATAGCTTTTTATTTATTTTTATTTTTTTATGGTGGGATATAACTTCTTGTGATTTGCAAACCCCTGCTCCTTTTTTTCCCAGCTGGAAAAACAACCGACAGCATGTTTTCAGGTATAATCAAGATGAAATAGGGAGGAATGAATAATTTACTGGCTGGTGACCAAGCCCATAAATAACATAATCCACACTGGAATTGTGTAGCGGCCAAGACAGCAACAACACCACACCCAAGAGGTATTCTGGTAGGTTGAAGGATGAGTATATGGAACCACAACTTCAGATGTGACAGTTTAGAACAGCGTTTTTCCAACTCTTGACGGCCTTTAAGATGTGTGGACTTCAATTCCCTACATCCCCCAGCCAGCGTTGCTGGCTGGAGGATTCTGGGATTTGCAGTCCATACATCTTAAAGGCATCGAGGTTGAGAAAAATAACTCTAGAGATATTATAATCTTTTTGCAACATGAATCAAAGAGGGAATCCAAAAGGTTATAAACCCAAGTTCCTATTTGCAAGCAAACCGCGCCTTTTCATGAAGTGTCAGTCTAGCCTTATCCTTAGTTTAATGTTTTATTCTAGCAATTTGTCGAGTACTCAGAAACCAGGTTCACCCAAGATGCTTAAGCCATAATCATAATAATCATAATAATCATAATAATCATGATGATGATGTTGGAAGGGACCTTGGAGGTCATCTAGTCCAACCCCCTGCTCAGGAAGGAAACCCTATATCATTTCAGGCAAATGGCTGTCCAGTCCCTTCTTAAAAATCTCTAGTGTTGGAGCATTCACAGCTTCTGGAGGCAGGTTGTTCCACTGGTTAATTCAGTGGTTCTCAACCTGTGGGTCGGGACCCCATTTGGGGTCGATCGACCATTTCATGGGGGTCGCCAAGCAAGGCTGTCCGCCATTTTTTTTGTCCGCCATTTTTCCCCCCTTTTCCAGCGGGTGCCTTACCTCCCTT